GAGGTAATTTTGATGAGTGCTTAACCTCTCACTAAAAAAGTAGCAGCTTGAAGAAGACAATATTTACTGCAGGAAACATTAGCTTGTCAGAGAGCTAAAGCACTGCAAAGAACCTTTCTGAATGACCATGCAAGTCTTCAGCCAGATGTTCTTCATAGCATAGAGTAATGCACACTCTGCTGGGAGTTAGACTAAGGCCATTCCTTGCATCACTCACAGTCAACATTGTTTCCTGTAGGAAAACAGCTTGCTGATGTAAGAATACACAAGCCGTTATATACAAGCTTGTGAAATACCATGCAATTCAGCTGAACCCTGTAGGCATTTATTTTATTAGCGCTAAGCAATCAAATAATCCTTTGAGAGAACTCTCCCTGGAAACGCTGCGTGATTCATCTGCAAGTTAGAGGAAATGCTTGAATCTAAGCCTCGTTGTTCAATTTCAAGCATATTTAGAAGTGCCCATGGTAGCCACCCTCTGAACACCCTCATCTCAGTCCAGTATTTCATCTTTTGAGTGTTCATGGACTCACAGTTGCTGCTGGTAACCCAGAGAGCTGTGATAGATGCCTTGCTGTCCACCTGTGTCAAACCTGGCTATCTCCTCCTCTGATTGCTGAGTATTTCATGGAATATCAGAAGTGCAAACTATCTGTTCTTTTAAATATAGCAGCTTATTCTCTTTTGAGCAGCACAGGAGACTTAGAGAACACCTCCCTGATGTCAGGGACCCTCTGACCTGTGGAATGCAAGGACACAAATGTGATTTTCAAAGCTTGCTGTGGTATTGGTCTGAACTAGACCACAGGCCCATCCTGTCTCTGTAGTCACAACTCCCTAAGACACCAATAATCCTGTCTTGTACTGTGTATTCATAAACTGGAAGAAAACTTTTTTTTTTTTTGCAATCAGAGCTTAGTTCTGAAGATACTAAAAATAACTGTGAATATTCCCTTATTTTCTTTACTTGCTCTTACCTGGAAAGGAGGGGAAAAAATGCAGCCTGTTATTGCAGTGACTGAAAGACAGAAAGGGAGAAATTGAGAGGAAAGAAAAGCTGGCATGAAAGTTTTTGCAAGAGCACAGTCCAGTTCACACACCATTGAAGTTATCATTTACCATGGCATAGATTTTAAAATACTTGAATTAAAAAGGCAATGAGAGGAAAATAGCAAATGAAATCCATCTGTTTGAGAACAGGAATATACCATCAATCAGCTCACAAAGAGTTTCTCTATACATGTTGCCCTTGGACTCTCAGAGAAGGGCCACATCTACTTATGAGGAAAAGTCAAGGCACTGCATATGTACAGTATATGCATGCCTTTTATGCGGTATCTTTTCATGCAAGTGTGTTTGTGATATACATACTTTACAGGAACATTTGCATTAAAATACATCTGAAGAGCTATCCTTCTCTAGAGTCCAGATTGTTTTATTACCAGCTAAATGTTCTTTAAGCTACCTGTGAATGAGGGCATTGTGACATTTAGCAACTGGTTTGATTGAACACAGATGTGAACCATATTCCATATGGAGAAGATCCAAAGAGAGAGATCCTAGGCTTGTTTCTGATTTGCAAGTAGAAGTTTGAATGCAATTACTTGACATTGAGCTACCAAGGTAGATGGAAACAAATGACTTGCTCCCACATCTGCAGTATTGCAGATGTAAAATCAGCAGCAGTTTGAGATAGTGCACTGTCTTCAGAGGTCAGGGAAAAAAGCCAATATATATGAAAGCAAAAGTCTCGTAGAAATTGGTAGTATCCACTCAGAAATGGGAAGGGGCCAGGCATTCATGTACATTGCTTACCAAGAGGCTTCCTAGGTGTGCCCCATTCCACAGAAGCACTGCTTTCTAATGTCATTCCAGTCTATCTCTGAATATTACAGGAAGTGCTGTTAACTGGGCAAGCATTTTTTAAAAATGGTTACATGGGGAATAGGGCTAAAGTTTTAATGCCAGTATGCAAGGTCTGTTTGTCATTTTCCAGTGTTTCTTGAGTGTAAAATTTACTGATGCAAAACTGAAATTGCACATGGCAGAGTTTATTTTATTATGGAAATGTTTATTTCTTAACAACTTAGGGAGGAAAAGCAAACATTTGGTGCCAGTTCAGATGTGCATTCTGAACTGCTGAATTCTACAAGGCTGCTCACAGAAACTGTAGCTAGCAGGCCTCATTCTCTGCTCTTGAAGAGAGAGGTTTATCCTTGTCTTCATTGCCTGTGGTGCTTGTTTGTTTTCCTTCCCTTTGAACTGATTGTGCATCATTGAAACCATGGTCTTTCCAGTGTAGCCTGTAAAGTGGAACAGGGACTGCTATCGGAGTCCCCATGAAACAGCTCTAGTCCCCAAGACAAAGGTTGATGTTGAAATGAAATATTTCTGAACCTGAATCTTCAGGAAATTTCTTTTCCATGCAGATAATTGATTCTTTTTTTTCCTCCCAGTTTTTCATCCTTGTTCAGCTTGGAAGAAATTCCAAGTTTTTTACTAGCTTTGGTGGTTTGCCTGTCTCAGGTGTCCTTATCTGTAGCTATTCTGCTGTAACAATACTGAGCTGCTGAGAGAGACTGAGGTTAGTAGCTCCCAAGGTATACCCTGGGGTGGGGGAGCTGCATTCACCAAATGCAATGCTGTAGGGGCAAGTAAAAAATCAGGAAGTTTAGTTTCTGTCTCTGCACTACAGTCCTTCCTTTTGAAAATCCCCTGGGCAGAGGGAGCAAGACTGCAGCAGCCTGTAGTTGGACCTGGGGTAGCTCGGTTAAAGTAGCAAAAATATATTCTACAAAACTACAGTGTAAAATCCACCACATAGAGTCTAGTCACAATGTACTGTGAGCACAATTCATTTGCTATCCTTTCACTCCTGTGTTTCTGCCCTCTTATCCCACTCACGTACCTGCCCTGGGAGTGCATGGACACACTCACTTTGCACTGCTGGTGCAAAGTTCAGAGTAAGTTCATTCCAATTGTGCAGATCTCTCCTTCTTTTTATAATTTGCTCTGTTTGGAAACTAGGAAGCTATGGTATCATGTGCAGGTAGCACAGCAATAAACATGTTCTCATCACAATTAACACATAAAGCGTGAGTCCCTTGAGGTAACTCATCCTCCTCTTGACAGCTTTAATAAAGGATGATGGATTGTTTCTAAATGACAGTTTAGGAAGATCAAAAATTCCCCCCTGTATTGTTTTGAGCTCTGGTGTACAAGAGCTGTTTTGTGTTCTCTGAAAGTTGTTTTTGCCTGTAAGCACTGGGGCTCTATTAATCCCCTTCACAGTGGTGAGAAATGCTTAGTTACCACAGAAATATATTCATCCTGCTGCATACTTGTGACATTTTTAAAAACTGCAGAAAAGCAAAGCCTAGTGTGGGTGGGAGGTGGGAAAGTGCCAATAGCTGAATGCATTGCCATCTTTGGGATGCTGCTCTGGGCAGTCTCCCCAGACACCGTGGGTTGTGAGGAGGAGGAAGGGGGATTGGATACTGATCCACCCAGAGTTGCCTCCAAGGTGTAAATGCCAGGAGGAGGCATCACCTGAACCTACCTGTGCTGGCTCCACTCCCTGACTAGCATATGCAGGGGGCTTAGGGAGACCCAGGCCTCCAGGTACCTGTCAATCACCCTCTTTTCCCCTCTCTGCCCTTTTCTTTTAAAATAATACATGTGGCAGCAAATTAGTTCTGGAGGGCAGAGTCATCCCTCTTGTTTCTTTTTGGCTTGAGATTTATTTCCCAGTGCATGTGCTTTGTAGCAGCACTTGGCAGAGTGGAGTTTGTTCAGCTGTCCATTCCCTTGCTAATCTGGTGTCTTAAAATAAAAACAAGCAAGTGGGTCTTTGGAGAAAGATTGCCACATGAAGATGTGGAGAGAGTCATATGGTTAAAACAGCACCGTTCCGAAGTCATTCACATGGTAGGAAACCAGATAAGAGGAAAACGCTGAGTGCCTGATTAGGGCTTGGTCTGATGGTACATCATGGTGACAAAATGAAGCTCACACAAGAGCCCACTGTGGCCATGCAGCACCAAAATCATACCTCTTTCATTGTGGAGTTAGTGGGTCTGAATGCTCTTTGGAGCCCATCGCTTTCTATTAGGGTGGAAAATGGCATAGTCCAGCTTTTGCATCTTATACGTGAACTGCCAGCCCTCGGAGCAAGGCACTGTTGCAAAACACTGAAAGAAGACTTTTGGTATAGATTCTCATTAAACCACACAAACTCACAAAGAATTTCTCCATTCTAGTGAAACAGAAAGATTTTAAATAAAAAACAGTATAGACTGGAGTTAAATCAAGGCTAAAACTTGCTAGGGGTGCAGAATCCAGGGGATGGGAAGTTTGCAGCTCTCCTACTGCTTCCCTGTTGGGAGGCAAAGGAGGACTGTCCCTGTAGATCTTCTTTGAACCTTTACTTCTTCACACTTAATTTTTTGGCAGTAATGCTTCTTCCAGCTGAGGAGGCCTGGCTGGACATCCGCTGCTTCATGTGGGACAGGTGTTTCAGAGGTCTCTGCAATAATGATCTTACATTTCAGATATAAACACCAGGGAACAAATTTTCAAAGTCTTCTAAAAATTCCCGGGTACCTGGTCCATAAGGACTGATTCCAGGACATATCTATGCATGAAAAATTGTATGTATGGTTGTATATGTAATCTGAGGAGTTTTCCTACAGAAGATGATAAAAAATACTCTTCCATTATTTATTGAAAAAAGAAGTAACTGAATTTTAAATTTGGGTTTAATCCTTGTTTTCTAGCTTTGTTTCCCAGCTCCATAAGTGTTTGTTTTAGTGTATGTAATGGTTGTCTTTGAATGCCTTTCAGTAAGTAGACCTCAGTAATAGCCCTAAATTTTTACAGCCTATGTTTGTGATGTACTTTTTTTCTCGTGATCAGGTTCTTTACTGTTGGGTTATTTATATTAATATATCCTTTTCTTTGATTGCTGGTGTGTTTTATGACTATTATATTCTTCCTCTTAGGCACAACAGGGATTTACCAGGGAGCCAATGGCCTGACAAATTCTGCAGGATTTAGTGCTGTGCATCAGGTATGGTTCAGCATTTATCATTGGCAACCTTGTCACTTATTTTAAACACTTGGAAGATTGATAGATCAAATAGGTTATTCTGGTATTTACATATATTTAAGGAAGGTACTGCCATGTGCTTTGCTGAACACCATTCTGCTCTACTCCTGTGGCCTGTCCATTTGCTGGACTTCTAGGTATCTTGATTACTTTTAAGATATGTTTATCAGTACACACACTTGCACAGAGCACAGTCCTTGCAGGAGCAGGACACGCTGACAGTCTCTGCTGCTGTAGCAGTGCCAAGAGTTTCATCATTCCTCTGCCATCTTACAACTTTCAGATATGTTTTCTGTCCTCTACAGAGAGCTCCACTTCTAGCATCATGTCATCTGTTGTCTTGGCACCATGTAATAAATATGAACAATTTGAAAGAGGCATTGGCAGGCCCCGCTTGAATATTGAGCCATCTGAGCTGGCTGTGCGCTTCCTTCTTTGAGAATACACCTGTCTGTGGGTTTCATACTTCAGATACCATGATAAATGTGTGTGTGTATAAATAAACAGCATGCGTGTATACACAAGACATGTTTTGCAATAGCAAATGGCTCTTCTTGATTGGACCAAATGAATGAGTACACTGTCCTAGAAAATGTGTTTTTGTTGGCCAGGAATTTCAATTCTTTCTTTGTAAGGTGATTTTTGACTTACATTTTTAATGACAGCAGTGGATAATTTCTTTATTCAGTTTTGGCTAAAAACATAAGTGTTTGCTGGTAGAAGTGCGTTTGATTGAAGTATGTAGGTTACCTAAAAAGGGGAAAAATAATTAGCCTTTTTTCATTATTTTGTGATATTCTTTAAGAGAAAACGATTAAATTCTCTCATTTCTTTTTCAGTTTAATTGTTATTATGACAACTTGAGTGTTTGTTCTTGAGAAGCCTCCTGGTGACAGAAAGTTAATGAAATAGCTGTGGCACAAAGATACAGGCTGTTAAGGAGGAACGTGCTTTTAGTCATTCTAAAGACTGTTGTTTAATTTTATTTATTTATTTATTTATTTATTCACTTTCTTTTAAAAGAAACAAATCTTTTATGTTTTAATTGTCCAGAGACAAGTTTTCTAATCTAGTCCAGTGCCCTGCTTCTCACAAAAAAAAAAAAAAAGAATATATGAGGATAATGGTATGAAGTTTATTTGGGAGCCTTAAAATCAAAACAGAGGGTTCTGTGATACCTCAGCTCCCCAAGGTCACTTGCACCTCATATTTTTAGTTTATTTTTCTGTAGGTAGGGAAGATTGCTCAGTCATTTAGTTATTGCTGAGATAGTTGGAAAATCTCAACTGTGAACATTTCTGCAAAACAATTGCTACTTTTTTTTTTACGTTTTTGTGACCTATTCTAACAACTGATCAGAAAATGTTGCTGATCATGGGAAAATGCAGCTCTTCCCATTACCCAGCTATTCATTCTGTTCTAATTTCTTATGTATTTTGTTGCTTACAGAGACTCTGTGTTCCGTCACAGCCCTTTTCAAAAAGCCACCCTAACGTCATTCCTGCATAAAATTGTTGACCTCTGTAATACAAAATGTGTCAGCACTGATAAATAAAATCCTATAGAAAAAGCAGAACTTGCCTGATTTCTGACTTCTTGTTGGTTAGCTAATCACAATAAAATAGTATATTTGGGAGAAGCAGAAATGTAATTTCGTGAGTAAAACATGGTTCTTTAGTGAAATATTCCTGGGCTGTGACTTGCTGAATGTGTAGATAACACTGCTTTTGTGGTGCCTTACTTGCTTATAGGATAAACCCAGATACATGGAAGTTAGATGTTTCTTTTTTCTCAAAGGAATATTCATCATATCCGAGCTTTCCTCAAAGCCAATACTCACAGTATTACAGCTCCTCCTACAACTCTCCTTATGTGTCTGCAAATGGCATCAGCCCCTCAGCCATCCCAACCTCCACTTACTCTCTGCAGGAGTCTTCTCACAATATCACCAGTCAGAGCACAGAATCGCTGTCTGGTAGGTGCTTCTCTTCTGTTTTCAGTTTGGCAGTCTCAGCCACCTGTAGACATAAACACTATAACCTTGTTGTTAATTTTTTAAAAAGATATATATTTACATTGATAAATCAGATTTCCTAGCACTTAACAGTTCTACTTACATGGTACAACACAGGGTTTTGAGAAGAGATTAGAACATCCAAACTCTCTAAAACCATCCTGTGTAGTTTTCATGAGTATGTGAGGTTTGATCTCCTCTAAAGGTAGAACAGAAAGATAAAACAATTACATTCAAAACCTAGATCAGTACTGAGGGCTAACCTGAGTAGCAGTGAGTTCAAAACACACAGTCCAGAGTTTCCTGGTTGCCTGATGACTTTTTAGCCCATGTCACTGTAAAGGTTTGTATCTACCTCTTAAACAACATGTAAGGTATGCATTTAGAAGTAAGTACATAAAGAGAAAAAGTTTGTGTTGATTTTTTTACAGTTGAAAGTTCAAGATTAATTCCACACAAAAAGGCTTCAAAATTTGTGACCTCTCTGAGTGCTTAATTTTACAAGTCTCAAAGCTTAAACAGTTTGTGGAATTACTGATGGATTATGATCCTCCAATGTACTCTTCAAGTACAATCTTTAGATATCACTTCCCTACTAAAGTTTTCATTGGCATGCAATAACATTTATATAAAATGCCACATAATTTGTGGATGATCACAGTATACGCCCACTGTAGGTCTGCTGACTTATGAAACAAATCTGAACATCTGTGGTTGCTCTAAAAGAAAAATAAACTAATATTGGTTTTTAAAAAGAAGTGATCACAGATTGCTTTAAAAGCAGTTGGAGGATTTTCTGTCCTTAGATCTTATCTCAGCCTTTTTGAGAAAGGGTGATTTCAAAAAGGCTTGTTAGGCACAATCCAAGGTTCTCTGAAGAATATGGTTATTCTAAGAAGCTGGAGAGACCACAACTTAGCAAGGTGAAAAGAAAAATATGTTTGAAAAGGATTTGCAATGTAGGGTAAGTGAAATCCGAACAGGTTTATGAAACTCAAGCCAATCAAAACAGATACTTTATACAAGGGGAGTTCACCTTTGACTGTTTCTTCTCAGTTATTTCTAAAATACTGTCCTCAGTGAAATGGAATATGGCTAAGCAGGCTAATTCTATATTTTTAAATAAAAGTTGTTGTTGAAAGTATATTTTTAATTATGAGCATTCATCAAATTTAAAAACAGAACAAAAAAACAGAAAAGCAAATTTTTCAGAGGTTGAATTGGTCTTGGTTTCCTTTTCCATTGCCTTTCTAATTTGTCTCTTGAGAAGCAGGGCTGGGAGTAAAATTCAAAAGGCTTTTCAATGAAAAATATGATAAGATATTTGAAGTGACATGTCCATCTTAAATGTTATACATACAGCTTTGGTGATTTTTTAAAAATTATTTTAACAGTCTTAAAAGTTACTTCTTTGACGGTGTCAGCTATTGACAATGGAATTTCTTTTTTTCATAATAGGAGAATATTCAACACCACCAGCAAAAGATGCTGAAACAGACAGACATCACAGAGGGTCAGATGGAAAGGTACGAGCTCGGTCAAAAAGAAGCAACGATCCTTCCCCTACTGCTGACAGTGAGATTGAGGTAATAACTTTAATTTATAATCCCTTAGTAAATCCAGCAAAAATAAACAGTTGCATCTATTAGCAAACCCTACCATCAGACTAGTGAGTTATAAGATCCAGAATAAAATCAGTAATATAACTGGAGCCTGCAGATGTGGGTAGTCAAAATAATTGCTCAATTTCTGTGATATCAGCATCTCAAACTATTCTTCATATGTACATTTTTTTTCCTTTGGGCTTGTTATAAATCTGGTGTTTTGTTCCCCTGACTTCACATGTACCAGGGGGTTTCTGTGGCTGTTAGGAGACCAGACTCTCAGGATGACCAGCACACACAGAGTTCCAAAATTGCTGATGTTTCATTTTTCCTGCTTTCACAAAGCATCCACAGTCAGTGGTCCAAATGGGTTTGAGATCTTAAAAAACTCTAGTCCAACAGGACATATTTCCTGACTGAACAAATTCTTGCAATTGCTTAATATGTAACTATATTTCTTTTTTCCACTCTGTCATCACAGCGTGTGTTTGTGTGGGATTTGGATGAGACGATAATTATTTTTCACTCCTTACTCACGGGAACCTTTGCATCCAGATATGGGAAGGTAAAATTTAATTTTTTTAGCATTACTGCTTGTCCAGCCAAATTGCGTCAGGAACTGTGGGGACAGTTAATGAGACAGCTTTTCAAACAGATGCTGCCAATTTTATTCAGACACATTTCTATAAATATGTCCTGTGGTATTTCCTTCTAACTTGTGAAAATTTAATTTACCTCCCTTTCATGCTGCAAATAGCCCCTTGTTTTTCAAAAGCTTGTATTGTTCAGCTGCTGCTAGATAGGACATCAGGATGTTCTTGCAATGTCTGTTGTCAGGCAGCCAGACAGCGTTAACTCTAGCCTGAATGAGGTAACCAATTTTCTGTTAGACCAGTATTTTCTTATAAATCTCAGACAACTTTTTAAGAGAGATTTTGTGTTGGTCCGTCTAGGTTGCCATGAAGAATACTGGCTTTGCTTCCCACATGAGTGCTGAGACTCACATTTTTCAGGGGTTTTAGGAACTGTATCTTTAGCTATCCATGCTTTACACACCCATTTGAGATGCAGGCAATTTCATTTTTCTTAGGTAACTCTCTCTGTGGCTGAACAGACTGAACTTGGCTGCTAAGGAGAAAACCCTGGCTCTTGGATTTAGTACCATGTGCTTCAATTTCTTCCTAAGGCAGCTTTTTATGATAAACACTTAAGTCACCTTCAATTACAGAATGTCAAACACTTAAATTGGTAGGGAAAAAGACAATATCATTACCTAATTAAAGGTGGATGACCTGGCTGGCAGCTGTTTCCACACATGGCTTTGAACAGTCAGCTTCATCAGGAGAACGGAAAATAACCCTGATTCTCTCTAGAAAGCAGAAATATGATTTGACATAATTTCATGGCTTTACCAGCTGTACTTGTTTTACGATGCTTATAACAAGCTCAATGTGTAATTAGAAAGATAGATTTATTGTTCGCTGTTAGATGTGCCCAGTTGTAAAGGATATAAAATGGTGTTTGTGGTGTGGAAGTCTACTGCAGCACTTGGAATGCTGCTAACACTTCTAACAGCACCCTCTGAAAACCAAGCACATGTTTTCAAGCAGGGATTTATTCAGACCCATGTTGTACAAGGTAATTGAAGTGGTTACTTTTCCCAGGGAACATAATGAACGAGGTAGTCTGAGGTATACATGTGTAAGCTCAAACCTACTACCTGCAAAAAATAGAAAGAATTAGGCAGGATCAGGAAACATAAACTTACACTGTGTAGGTCTGCTATGTGGTCATAGCATTGAGTAGGGGCTGCAGTATGCATATGGAGAATTCCCTTAATGGGCTGACTTGGTCCTAACATAAAACCTCTGAGGCAGGTGCCTTCATCTGTTGCCTCCTACACAGACTTAAGAGGGTGTGGGGTTAGGATCTGCTGCATGGAGGCAGCTGATCTGCTTCATGGGTGATGGACCCATGAAGATGAGAAGTCCTGCCATCTCAGTACCTGTGAGCTCTTACTGCCACAAAGGCAGAAGCTGCCGTCTTTAGCACAGCTGGTGTGGGGATGAAGTGGGGTCAGGGACTGGAGCCAGAAGGAGTTTACGAAAAGCACTCATCAGTGGCTGAGCTGTTCCTATTGGGCTTGAGAGCAGAGTTAGGCCAAAACAGGACACTTGTAAGCAGCAGCATGCAAAAGGGACTGGGGAGAGAGGAAAATGGGGAAAATGAAAACTCAAGAGTTGTCTTCTTCAGAAGGCCCTTAAAGGTACAAAATGACAGACTTCTGTTGGCTGTTTCCTTCATACAAATGTAAAGAATTATACAAACAGGGATATTCTTTTTAATCACCTTTTCTATGGAGTTACAGCAGGGTCTTTGAGAAACTTCTCCAGAAGGACTTCTTTTGTAGTTCTTCATTTGATTCATCAGTATTAAATTTTTCAGGGCTTTCCTATAAGGGAAGCGGTTGTGTTATAAAAGTATTATAAGCTAACGGCTTGATCCAAAGACAACCAGAGGCTTTGGTGGGCTTTGGAACAGACCTTAAACCAAGAGGGAAATACAGCACATTGAGACAGTCCTGGGAACCATTAAATTGTAACACAATTCAAAAATGTGTAAGTGAGCTGAACTATCAAGTACAAGTGAAGCAGTGAGCCAGAGGTTAATAGAGTTTCAGATTCTCTTACTTGAATGATGTAGGAAGTGTTAATCTTGCAATAAGTTGTCAAGGCCTAGAATTCTTATTTTTGTCCATAATTGGTCATAAAAGATTCATGTGCCCGTAATTAGACATGCACATGCTTTGAACTAAATCTCACACGTGGAGGTCTTGCTTCTGTACATCTTCCTCCAGAAGAAGTGTCAGTTTATATGATCTTCATCATTCCCCTGGCCAACATTAATGTCCCAGTATCTACCAGTTGCACTGGTAGAGCTGCTGTGCAGCTACTCAAAGAATTAGTCTATAAAGTTGATCAAGCTGAAGAATAAAACCTCTTTCTGGGATTATTTTTCTGAGAAGAGAGGAAGAAGAACATCAGCATAGCCTCAGAGATTTGGGTCTCTCCATGTTCTCTAGCTACAGAATCTTAAATGGTTCTGTGTGTTGCCCGTTCCTTGGTGATGGCAGCAATAGGTAACTGGGGGGGGAGGAGGGAAATAGGCGGAAGAATTCACAAAAAGTATTATCAATTATAGTCATATTATTAATCATTAATGCTTCAATGTCTGTTTTCTGACCTGATTTCATGTGAAAATTCTCTTTGTTTGGTTTCTGAGGAAAACCTCTGTGGTCCTTGCCACACATTCTCCTCAGAGCATGGACAGTTCATCTTGGGTATTTAGATGAACTTTAGCATGAAACTTTCATGCTTTGCTCACAGCATTAATGGAAGTTAAAACACAAAATTTACTCAGGGTTGAAGCAAGGTTGAATAGCCCAGCCAAGGTTGCCCCTTTTTTGTCCCCTGTGCCCATACTCTTTGCCCTAACCCATGGATTACGGAGTCATCAGACATTTGGTCTTAATGTATTTGCCATATGGCCACTGCAGTATAACCTTTATAGTGGCAGTCAGAATGGCCTGCAAATTCAAGTCTCCTTTTGCTTTCTTGCCCACGGTTGAATGGGTGCATACCTGCACAAACTTACAGAGTCACGGTCTAAGTGATCGGGGCAGCAAAGCTGTCAAACCCGAGGAAATCTCTCCACCCTTTGACTTCTCAGCAGGAGGCCCTCTGACTAGAAAAAGCAAAAAAAAGGTTCCATAGGCAGTTAACCCTGGTTATTACATTCAGGAGGGTTTGGAAACCTGTTCTGCAGGGTTCTGATCACTGTATGGGTGCACAATATTTACTGTGTGCCTAGAGACCGCAACAGATGTAGACAATCATTGTAGTTTAATCTGCTGCCCACCCAGTGCTTTTAATCCCTTCAGGCAAGTATAAGAGAACTCCTGTTCAACAGGAAGATGGTTGCAGCCTCTGCAATGTCTGCAAAGATCGACTTGCCAAATCACTGACTAAATATAATGGGAAAACTGAGTCAAAATCCATAACAGTGTTGCTGGGGTTTCACATGAGTTGGGAAAAAGTCAAAGGGCTTTAGCCATTTGTTTGAAGCAGCGAGACACAATACAGACAGACTCTTCTGGTCATATTAATTCAGACACAATAAAAAGAGATTGAATGAATTTTGGTGCCAAAAAAAATCATGAGTCTCTTCCCCTTTCCCTGACTGAGATATTTGCAAGCTTATTTCATGATCTGTGTTGTCAAAAGCATTAAAAAAAAATCCCTGCATCTCTTTCAGTGTGAGAAATTGTAAGTATTATATTGCAGATTCATTCATGCTTTTCAAAGGACTAGTATAAAGAAAAAATGGGGCACTCTCTGTGTTGTTTTCTTTAGCTTAGTGGCATGTGTGAAGTTAATACCTTTTCTCAGTATTTTGCATTGTTCCCAGAATGCATGGTGGTGTTCTGTGTTGGTACGCTTCTTGCAATTTCAAAATGGATTGTGAGTAAAGTAAAATCTGGAGTTAAAATTCATCTTTACTTGCAAGTTACTCTGAAATCCTGGAACCAAATGGAAAGGATTCAATTTTAGCACTGACTTAAAGAATTGAATACATAGGACAGTCTAAATTCTTGAATTGTGTAGGATCCGTATCAGTACTTTGATGTCTGCTGATACCTGAGAGTTACACTCTATAAAATTCCTTGTAATATGCATAGCAATTTCTGAGCTTGTTCAGCATCCTGAATAGGCTCAAATTAAGAAAAACATACTGGAAAAAATAATAAAGCAGTTTTAAATCAGTCATGCAAAGTCATGCTCTAGATTTAGTTAACCTTAACTGAAAGGTGTTTAGACTGCCTGTATTACACTGTGTCCCTGTGAGCCTGGACTGTGTGGTTGCTTTGCCTGGAGTGGCCAATCTGGCTCCTTTCTGTGGGAATTTGTGATTTGCCTCATAGTTGCTTAATTGATGTGGAGGCTGTTTTCTATGATAGCCATATTTTTAAATTGTTTTTGCGTGTCAGAAGTGGCAACATGAGATTTATCCAAGTTGTAAGCAGACGGGTATAAGTGGGATAGAGACAGGGGTTGCACTCAAGTTTCCAGCCTTTGCAAACTTGGGCTCTGCCTCTGATGAGGGACTTTTTGGACAGGATAGCTAAGGTTGCTGCCTGCTCCAGCTGAGGACAGGACATAAACACTATTTTCTAGCATTTCAAGCAAATGTCATAGCTGCTGTATGTTGGCTGGCTGTGAACTGGACTGTCATGCTCTCACCAGAAAAGTTGTTGTGGATCTAAGAAACTTTATTCCTCAAAAGTTTCACTGGCAGTTATATGTTCATACAAAAAGTTTTCCTTTAAGTGAATTATAATTTCCAATTAAAAAAAGAAGTCATAGAAAAGTTCCTGCTTGGTTCTACTCAAGATCCTTGTAAAACCCTAGGGTGTTTTTGTTTTTGTTTTTGGTTTTTCCCCCCCTCGCTTTCATTGAATGCTTCAAGTAGCTTTTCCCTGCTTTGTTCTCTCGCAGGGCTCTAAAG